CTTGGAAACCCTATGCAGGGCCGCTATGAGTCAGAACTGACTCCACGGCACTTAACAACAACAACAACAAATTACTAATAGGTCAATAAAGAAACCAGAATAAAGATTGTAAAATACTTTGAAACAAATGAAAATGAAGACACCATGCACTAAAATTGAAGGGATGCAACTAAATAGGGGTTTAGAGACAAATCTGTGTTTGTGCATGCATATGCATATGTCAAAAGAAGAATAAATATTTCAAATCAGTAAAAAAAAACAAAATTCAATAGCTGCTATTATTGTCATCCCCCTTTTGTAGAAACTAAAGCAAAGAGATGTTAAGTCACGTGATCAGGAGTTAGGCAGCTAATAAAAGTGATCTGTCTAGGATTGAAGCTGTGTTTTCTGTCTCTCTAGCGAGGGAGTCCTGGTGGTGTTGTCTCTATGAGTTGGAACTAACTCAACGGCACTTTAACAACAACAAAAAGTGAGGGTTAGTGCTGGGATGTGAAGGAAGGTAACCCACACCAGAGTTCAGGCTTTACCACTGCTTTCGCCTTTCTTGCAGACACAATACATAGGAGTTCTTTGTTGTTGTTGTTGAAGTTGGGGATCAAAAGTGATCAATTGTAAAATCGATTTTACATCTATTACAAAATCGTTTCAGCAACCTCTTGCCCTGCCTCTGTTTGAATATTTTCAATAATAGAGAATACACTGACCCAAGGTGCAACTGATTTCATTTTGCAGTAACATTATCAGAAAGTACCTCCCTCTATTGTGATAAAATTTGGATCATGACGGGTATAAATGCAGTCACTTGTGTTGGAACTTGTCCTCTGAAGTTGTGAGAAATAAGTTTAATTCCTCCTCTGCATAGCTATCCTTTAAATGAAATAAGACTTTTAAGTAATTGTTGTCAGTTTTTCTTCCCATGAGCATCTGTCACCAAAGTAGTCTCTCCCCTTTGATAACTTTATAAATGTTCCTCTTGAAACATAAAGCATAGCACATACTTTAAGTATGTTCATTGTAGAATGCAGTGAGGCTAAATCTTTGTTTCATTCATGAAACTAGTATAGCACAATGCTTAAAAAGGGTAGATTTTGAAATCAGCTATCCAGTTTGAGTTCTATTCCCAACATTTAGAGCCAGCCGTGGTGCTGGTGATTATGGGCCGTGGAGTCGGTTCTGACTCATAGCGACCCTGCGTAGGGTTTCTGAGGCTGTAAATCTTTACAGGAACAGAAAGCCTCATGTTTTCCCTACAGAACTGCTAGTAATTTCAAACTCCTGACCTTGAAGTTAGCAGCCTGACTTGTAACCACTACCAGGGCTCCTTAAATACGTCTATACTGTGTGTGTGTGTGTGTGTGTGTAATAATACTAGTGAAGTATGCACACCTTAGAATAATCAACCATTTGAGATCAAAAGGGCAGCATTAACCCAAGAACAAAGTTCAAGAAGCTTAAGAAAGCAGGAGGAATGGAGACAAGAAGCACAGGGACGACGTGGGATCAGTGATGTCACACTGAGGGGATTACGATCAATGACATGAAATAATATGTATATGAATCTGTTTATTAGTTTTTTTAGAGTGAGTAAACCGTCACACCATTCTCCCCCAAAAGTATTTAAAAATAAACAAAAACTGATGATTTGCTCTGTAAACCACCCATATTTCACAAGCATACTCCCAGCTCTTCATTGAGAAAGAGTTGTTAAGAGGATTAAACATGATAGTAGTTAAACACTGAGACAACTGGAACACAGTATGAATTTGGAAACCATGGACAATGTTATTTAAAAGTGCAGACATTTTTTTAAGATCTACTACGTATATGGGATCTTGGTGTGGCATTGTAGGTTAAAGCGCTGTACCGCAATGTTGGTTAGAACCACAAGATCTACAGTTCAGACTCACCAGCCACTCCTTGGAAACATTATACAGGGTCATTAAGAGTCTGAACAGACTTGGCGGCACTTAGCAACAACAACTACATATACGGAGTCCTGGTTTGGCACTGTAGGATAAGCATTGGACCACAAGGTCAGTTTGAACCACAAGGTTGGTGGTTCAAACTCAACAGCCACTCCTTGGAAACTCTATACAGGGTCACCGTGATACAGTACCGACTGGATGGCACTAACATAAACAACTATATATATTCACTGACGTTATAGTCTGGATTGCTAAGACACTTTCACTTAAAATTCTAGACCTTATGCTATTTTTATGAAGCAACCTATGATTGCATTTGGTTTTAGGAAATCATAAATCATGTCACACTGTGGGCTTATAATTAGATAACAGTGAGGGGAAAAGTCGTTGAGCTTTTTATCATGGCTGCTGCTGTGAATTGCTCACATCTGTTGAATTCTAGGTCATACAGTTACGTCCTGTCAAGGTCTTTGGGGATCCTGATTGTGCCTTCCAGTGTGTTTGGTTTCCCATCCACGCTCCATATCATATGTACATATGAAAAGCATTCCATCAATGTCATCAACCAAGTCATTAATGAAATGTGAAGTAGAACAGAACCAACAGCAGAGCCTACAACAACCCGTTAGAGAATTCCCTTTGGGGACAGTCATTTGAACAACTAGGAATCCACCTAACAGTACTTACAATCAGAAGGAAAAAAAAATTACTCTTGTTAATAAGGACACCGTTTGAAATTGTTTAGAAGCCTTGTTTAAACCCAAGTAGATTATGTCTATTACTAATTTATATAGCATTATGGAGTCCTGGTGTGGCGCTGGGGGTTAATGTGCCAGACTGCAAAGTCGTTTGAACTGTAAGGTCGGCTCTCCAGCTGCTCCTCGGAAACCGTATACAGAGTGGCTATGGGTCGGAATCGACTCGACAACAACCTGTTAAGTAATCCTAGCTCTAAAAAAAACAACACAAAAACAAAGAAGAAACTTTGTTGAGTGCAATTTGTTTTTAGGGAATCTGTAGTGATTTCTAATAATGACCACCTTTTTTTATTTAAGTTTTTGTTGTGAATTGAGTGATTAGTTTACATGGGGAACATCAGTTTTACACTCATCATTTCATTGCAATGATTACAATCTCCTCTGTGCATCATCATCATCATTTTTGTGTCTATTCTCTCTGGGTTTTGGGGGGGACTAAGGGGATGTACACAAAATTACTCAGGAATATATAATCATTTAAACAACCAAAGGTCACATTCTGCAAACATGTCTCCTGGCCGCCAGCACCCAGTCTCTCTCTTTCTATGAGTCTAGAGTCCTCAGCTGCGCTCTCTCTCTCTCTCTCTGTGATCTTATCTCTGTCTCCATCTCCAGTGTCGCTGCTTCTCTGGATAGGGCCCCATATTCCACTCATGCTCTTCTCCTTTGATGGTCAAGGGTTCTCTGCTCATGGACTGTAAGATTAACTACTCCTCTCTTTTTGTTACAAAACGTCTATCTTTACAGTTAGGAGGTACAGTGAGGAACAAAACAGACACTGTCCTTTACAGTTAACTACTTTCTACCTTCTTATAAAGACTCAAGAACTTCTGATATGGTGCTGCAGGATCAGCAGTGGACTACAAACCACAAGGTCAAGAGTTCAAACCCCTCAGCTGCTCCTCGGAAACCCTATATAGGGTCACTATGAGTCAGAACCGACTCAGTGGAATTAACAACATTAAGGCTCATGGGAAATCTTTTAAATAATCATTTCTATAATCTAACTAGGAATTAATAGGAATGTACGTGTTTAGTTTAAGAAATATTTCTGATTCATTCTAAAAGCTGAAACTTCATTGCTCTATTGCCAGCTTGTTTCTAACTGCCAAGATAGGCAGTGAAGACTTAGCAATCTCATTTACAAATTCTCTCAGCATTCTGGAATTTAATCTTTCAGGGCCTTAACACTTGAAGCATTTAAAGTTATCCCTTATAATTTCCTCATTCACTTCAGTCGCAGTTACTCTTTCCTGATGCTTTTCCAGCTCTCTCCAATCTGAAAATCACTCTTGACGGGGAAGATGGGAACAAAACTTGCTATTACATCACCAACCACAAACTGATAACTTCCTTTGTATTTCTGCTCAAAAAGTGTGTTTTTCCTTGTATTTTTGTAATTTCTGTTCTTTCAGACTTTAACCTTATAAATAGTTCTCTAGGATATTTATATATTTGCCCAAGTTTCGTAACTTTTGTACATTCAACTATTCCTTCCACAAATATATGTTGTTGTTGTTAAATGCTGTCAAGTCGGTTCTGACTCTTAGAGACCCTATATAGGGTTTCCAAGGAGCAGTCGGTGGGTCTGAACTGCTGACCTTGTGGCTCGCAGTCCAGTGCTGGTCCTACAACACTGCACTAAAATGAATGCCGGTTATTTGTCAGGCACTGTTCCAGGCAGTGGAGGTACAGTGAGGAACAAACAGACACTGCCCTTGCCTTGTTTCCTAGAAATTATTGACCTTAGATTCCCACATTATTTTCCTAACTGGATTATATATAGTTTCCTGTATATGCTGAGCTTTTAATTTATGAGCAATAGCTAGTCCTCTTGAGCTGTCTTTTCATTAGAGTTTTGGGATCTTAGAACAATGATCACCTCTTGCCCCCACCCTCTGAAATTTCCTGAAATCACCCCTCTAAATAGCTGTATCGATGCCTAACTTTTCTCTTAGCATTTCTTTCTTATAATGGTCTCATGATTTTTTTTTTTTTTTTTTAACTAAAGACAACAGAATGGGACTGGAAGGCCTTGTCATAACTCAGGGAGAATTTGCTATAATTACACATGTGGAAGTTGGTTTGTTAAGAATCAATTTCTTTTGTTTTATTTTGTTGTTATTGTTGTTATTTTTTTCATTTCATTATCCCATTGTGAAATTACATGAATTTTTCCTGAATTTCTTATATGACCAAAATATTTGGACAGATTCCAAGAGGTTTATTGGGAATACACTTAAATGTGGGTTAAGAAACTTTTTCTGCATAGAATTGTAATTGTTAGTTCTAATGTAATGTTTTGTCTGTGTTCTAGGAGTAGTCCTGCACTAGTGTATGCCATTCTTGCTATATGGACTTGGAGCATGCTGCAGTTTCCACTTGACCTTGCAGGTAAGTGTCAGGATGTTTTCTAAAGGAAAGAGGAAACTGCAGCTCTTGATTATCATCTGCACTAAAGCTAGGGAGACAATTGAAAGCTGTCTGCATGGACATCCCGTTATTGATTCCAGTTCAGTTTGGAAGAAATCTAGATTGGAACTTAGGAAATCCGTTAGTAGATTCACTCTGGTACATACTGAACAAAAGATAATAGAATGAATCAGAACATAGCCTTAAACCCAGTTCAAGCAGTGGTTCCACAACTAATGATTTGTCAAGCCTCCTGAAAATTAGTGAATGCATCCATGCCTAACTTTTTCATCCATGGAATGGGGATGCTCAGAATACCAGCAAGATCAGTTGATAAAACACCAAGTATACTTGGAGCTCCAGTAGCGTAGTGGTTATGAATCGGGCTGCTAACCTCAGGGTCAGCTGTTTGAAACTACCAGCTGTTCTGCAGGAGAAAGATGAGGCTTTCTGCTCCCATAAATATTTACAGCCTTGGAAACCCTGTACAGGGTCGCTATGAGTCGGAATCGACTCCACGGCACATAACAACAACCACAACATACTTGCTGGCACAAAAGCATTAGCTTTTCATATTTTTAAAAAGTGGTTTTTCCTTCCTTTCTCAGATCCATGTATTAGAACCTCAGAGGGAGTTAGAACAGTTTCAAACCCAGGTGGAAAAATAAAATTCTCTTCAGGTGCTACTTGAAATCCCGTTGGTCTGACTTTAATAAACATATAAACTGCCAAGATGCTGTAAGAAATAAATGTTTTCCAGGTATTTCATACTAGTGATGACCTAAAGCTGTCTAGTACAGCGTCTAGTACTGTCTTTGTTGTTTTGTGTGCCGTGGAGTCGGTTCCGATTCATAGCGACCCTGTACAGGGTTTTTGAGGCTGTAAATCTTTACGGGAGCAGAACGCCTCATCTTTCTCCTGCGGAACAGCTCTTCAAATGTAAATTCAGATAAATTAAAATTGAATAAGATTAAAAATTCACTTTCTGAGTCTCACGAGCTAGTCACATTCAAGTCCTCAGTTGCCACATATGGCTACTGTATTTAACAACACAGCTAAAAAACGTGCTTATCATGACAAAAGGTCCTATTGGATGACAGTGAACTAGGGTCATCCCATAACTTTTCGGACCTCTGAAAATTGATTTGGTATTCTCCTAGATGACCCCTCACTTGGGAAAAATTCTGTTTTTGCTGTTGTTAAGTTCCACTAAGAGCAACCCTGAGGAGTTTGAACTGCTGACCTTGTGGTTCACTGGTCCAGTACTGAGTCCACAGTGCCACAACAAGAGTCCTGTGAGGAATTCTAGTATTTAATAATTACAATCCTCAGGTCAGACTGTTTTTTATTTCACCCTACTATGTTGGCCTCAGGATTCGAATTGATCTTTAGGATAGAGTTGTGTGGGGTTTTTTTTTTGTTTTTTGTTTTTTTCTGTATTATTATTATTTTTTTAATAATCTTTATATGCCCTGAAGTCTCAGAGGCAACTGCAGCCCCTAACATTCACTTTTATAAATAAAATGATGGGTGGATGGATAGAGTTGCTATACTTTTTGTTTTGTTTAGTTTTGAAATACCAAGAACCTAATTACCAATTACTAATGACAAACAAATGTATGCCACAAGCACACACACACACGCACACCCACATACACATATTTTTGTTCTACAACCCCACTAAGAAGATACTAGGCTCCATCACTTCAGATGTCTAGTAATGTCCCCAGAGGAACTCTGGGAGCTATTTTCTGACCCTAACTTCTTAGAAAAGCCAACTATTAGTTTTTCTTTTTGCATTATATTGGGTTTTCTTTTTGCATTTACTCTGCTAATCCTCATTTTCCTCCTGTATTTTGTGGTTATAGACTTGCTAAGAAAATTTTTATTTAAGAAAGAAATTTTGTAAACTTTCAGGAGTGATAATGTGATGCAGCTGTTTGAAAAACAAAGACCAAATGTTACTTCTGACAAAATGAGTATTGTATTTTCCAATGAACAATATATTATGCTCACCCATATCAAAGTAGCTTAAGAATATTTGCAGGCTCCAATAGACCAAGGCTTTCTTTGTTTGAAAACTCCAAATGGAAGGCTTCATTATTATACAAGGATTATTTCCCATCCTTGACCCTGAATTAAATTTACATTTTAAAAATTGAAACAAAAAAAGCTTCATCTGTTGATTGGATCTCCTTTTGTTCAACTAGAAAATCGGTAATTGTATCCAGTTGGTTCTTGTAAACTGTGAAACAAAACCTTAAGGAATTAGAACAAAATAACAATGGCATATATTTGGGCTCTCTTTCCCACCATTAGAGAAATATGTTTAACATGAATTAAGTTTGCATTTGAATATACGCACTTGAATTGTCTAACCCAATTGGCACACATGGACTAATGAATGAACAACGAGTAAGTAGATTCTAAAGAGAGGATCTGAAACCACATACACACAGTTCTTCTCCCAAATGTATCAGTCCTGAGTGCAACAGAAAGACTGGATGAGAAGCAGAGAGAAGTTAAGAGTGTTAATCTAATGAAAATCCAGTCCTGTGTAATAGTCATGAGTCACATCACGTCCATTCAGTCAACCTCTGACCACATATACTTGTGGTCTCATAGAGGTATAGTAAAGTTCAGAAATCTTGATCAGAGAACTCAATGTAGTGAACCCAACAGCTTCCCACTTGCAATGTGTGTATCTCATGTCTACATTGCCAATTGTATAGTGGTAATGAAGATTGTTGTTGTTAAGTGTCATGGAGTTGGTTCCTATCATAGCGACCCCATGTGGGGTTTCTGAGGTGGGTTTGAATTGTTGACCTTGCATTTAGCAGTTCAGTAATTGTCCTACAGCATCAGAAGATATACAACATATTATGCATATGTCTTTGTAGTCACAATAAATGTCTATGTTACTGGCTCATTTCTGTACTGTATTTTACTTCCTCTCTAAAAGTTTACCATATACCAGCATACTCTAGTTTGCAAACAGCAGTCTCCAGCCTTGTGTATCACATGTTTCTCAAGTGTTGTAGCAATAACTGTTAAATTTTCATTCAAAAATATTACCTTGAAGAGGATTATGGCTCCCAAGTGCAGGAAAACCATTGCAAGAAATAGCATCAAGAACCAAAGGAGAGTATTGTTGGAAGTGAAAAAAGAATAAGGATATTAAAAATACAAAGATGGAAAATCAGTGGATAGTATTACTGACAATTGAAGCATGTCACACTGAACAATCGGTACAATCTTAAAAACAGAGAAAAAAAATGCACCAACTGATTAAAAGATTGATTCCACAGAAAGGTAGAAAGAAGGTTAACTAAAATGTGAGAGGGTACTATACAGATGTGGCGCACCAAACACAAAAGTCAATCCATGTTGATGATCACTGCTAAGACACAAAACTGTTGGAGATGCTTCAAGAAAAAGCAGGCCCGGATCACTATGTTATTCACACAACATCCAAATCACATAGCATCCTATTTCATATACCCTGGACATTTAGGTTTTAACTGTATTTTCCTAGACTCACCTAGACAAATTACCACAAATGAGATGACTGAAAGCAACAGAAATGTATCATCTCCTAGTTCTGAAGGCTAAAATTCTGAAATCGAAGTATCGGCAGGACCATGAGCCTTGTGAAGGCTCTAGGAAAGAATCCTCCCCTGCTTCTTTCTGGCTTCTAGGTGTTGTCGGCAATCTCTGGTGTATCTTGGCTTCCAACTGCCTCACTCCAATTTCTACCTTCATCTTCCATGGCCTTCTTCCTTCTGTATGTATTTGTCTTTCTGTGTGTCCTTTACTTACAAATACACCAGTGATATTAGACTTAGGGCCCACCCTGTGACCTCATTTTAACTAATGACATTAGCAAAGGTCACATTGAAGGTTCTGGGTAGTCATGACTTTGGGGGGGGGGGGTAACGGCAGGGGGAGGTGTGTTTGCACTATTCTACCCAGTAAAATTCCCTGAAGAAAATGAGTCAATGAAAAAGTGTTTTTTTCCTCATAGATACTATCTTTATTCCAGTTTTCAAATGAGGAAACTGGGTCCCAGCAAGTAAGTTGGGCAGGATTTCATTGATAGAAAATGGCGAATCCAGGAGAGGTCTCCTGCCTTCCTCCACTGCAGACCCAAGGACAGACATGGCGGCATACTTCATTCTCTTGACTTCACTTAACTTTACTTAATTTTGTTTTGTGTGAGAACTAGGGAGTGCTCTGAAAGTTTTACAGTAGATGCAAACTGGAGAACTGACTTTTTTTTGGTTTGGTATATTGGAATGAGAACATGTTACTCATTTTGGATGTAAAAATGCTCTAGCATGTTACATAGCAGGGTGGTTTCACCTGTCCCACACAGATGAGATGACAAACTCATTTCCAAGCATAGCACCCATTGTTAACGACATGCCCCCATCTTATCATCCTGTATGCCCACCTTTCCTAGAGACAAGTTAACTGGTCTGTCTTGCATTTTCAGTACAGCACGTCGTGTGTCCCTCGTCTGTGACAGCCAGGGGGTTCCCCAGTCTGTTCTTTTGCCAGTACAGTGCCGATCTGTGGAACATTGGAATCAGCGTCTTCATACAAGACGGGCCTTTCCTTGTCGTACGTCTCATACTGATGACCTATTTTAAAGTGATAAACCAGATGCTGGTGTTCTTTGCTGCGAAGAATTTCCTCGTGGTGGTGTTACAACTCTACCGCCTGGTGGTGCTGGCCTTGGGAGTCCGGGCTTCCCTGCGAAACCAATTAGACAGAAAGAAAGGAGGGGACAACTGCTCAGGACAACCAGCTGAGAGTGGCCTCTTACCCAGAAGCTGGAAGAGTGACTCTAAGGAGGACGTGGCTATCCCATTGCAGGTGTCTCCAGTCACCTCGGACGACAGCCCTCCGACTCCATAGTTATTTATTCAAGCAGCAAGCATGCTAGAATGGTTGCTTTTCTGCTGCTTCTTACAGACAACACCGTCTGTTTTGTATTTTAACCTTGGCATATAATTATTTTCAAAAGAACCACATAGAAGCCAAAGTCAAGGGAGTTTTATTTTTTCAAATGAATGAAAGGAACTTTGATTAGTGGCTATGGCTACGTCTGTATCAGCTGTTTCAGTTGTTCAACAGCTATGTGATTTGTTTGTCGTGAACTCTTTGAAAAGCTATGGCCAGGGTTAGAGGGGCATGCCCTCAAAAGAACTAATGCAGACAGACAAACAGTGGCTGTTTTCAGAAAGTACTGATGCTTTGAACTTTGGCTCCATTGTCAGATGATCTCATTTGATCTTTTCTGCAATATCTCTCTGACATTACAAAAACGTACAGTCAGTAACTGCAGACCAAATTAAGGGAAAAGTGCCTTTAAAATTTCCTCAGCGAAAAACCTCTGCCCAGCTTCCATAGCATGGTAATCCCTGTTCATCACTGCAAAGAGGGGAGGGGGGGCAATAACCTCATTGTTTTGAGCTTACGTGGTATTCTGTCATGATGGATATGCTCTTAAAGGAATTTTATTGCTTTTGGCTTGCACATGATAGAATTCACAGCAAGCCATTTTGGTTATACATGTCCTTGTTGTGAGGCAGGAAATACTAGTAAAATGCTAGGAAAGTCACAATTTCCGTTCTGAACATGATTCACAGGATTCGTCAGAATTTTTCTTAATGCCACTTTAGCACTTTCAGTATTACCAGGTTGGCTTACCTGGGTTGATGCAGAGAATCATTGAAGTTATGAATAGAGGTGTTTAGGCCCTTTAAGTGTTACCATAGTTTCTGGTGTCTGCCAACAGTAGCAAATATAGCTGTAGCTCCTCTGAACTGCCTTGCTGGAGACAGCCTTTGGTCACAGGAAACATGTTGGTGACAGAGGATTGGCCTAACCACTACTAACTGCCCTTGATTAGTGATTCAGGGTGGGGGTGTGTGTGTCAAAAATATGCCACAGTATTGTGGAAATCAAGAATTTGCTTTAATTACCTGCGCTAAGATTTCATTTGGCTGTATTGAAATACCCATGATACAATTTTATACACCTCTGTACTGCCCAGATGGAAGTGATTCAGCATGTTTTAAAAGTGATTTTTGCTTTTAAAGATACAGCATAAAAACATACCCTGCTCTGTAGCAGTAGTTATATGAGATGAACAGTTGCAAAATGGTTCTTTTTAGGATCAAGGATAACTCCTTTTATGTTCTTATGCTCAGAAATTCGGAGGGAGACATTAAAGGTAAGGCAGAGTGTGGCCTAAAATTGGATCTAGCCTGTTGACAGCAACTGGGACAGTTTTTTCTATAAATTTCTATGTGATCTGATTCTGTTCAAAATAGTTGATGGATGAAATGTATCATAGACAAATTCTGTTCTTACACAGAGCAATGCATATATTTTATAGAATGGTTTCTCCTTGGAATACAGACAGAGACACAGGCTGAATGGGTATGGGAGAAAGAATGAGATATAGATATTTGTTGTTAATGTTGTTAAGGTGCCATCGAGTCGGTATCAACTCATAGCAGCCCTTTGCACAAGAGAACAAAACACTGCCTGGTCCATTGCCAACCTCACAATCGTTGCTACATTTGAGCCCACTGCTGCTGCCACTGTGCCAATCCATCTCACTGGGGGTCTTCTTCTTTTTCTCCGACCATCCACTTTACCAAGAATGATGTCCTTCTCCAGGGACTGATCCCTTCTGATAATATGACTGAAGTATGAGAGACGAAGTCTGGCCATCCTGGCTTCCAGAGAACATTCTGGCTGTACTTCTTCCAACACAGATTGGTTTGTTCTTCTGGTAGTTGGTTGTTACTTTCAATATTCTCATCCAACAACATAACTCAAATGTTTCAGTTCTTCTATGATCTTCCTTACTCACTACCCAACTTTCACATGCTTATAAGGCTATGACAATAGTGTGGCTTGGGTCAAGTGCACCTTAGTCCTCAAACTAACATCTCTGTTCTTGAATACAGGGTAAAACTGACATCTTTGTTCTTGAACACAGGATATATATACATTACAAATATGTAAGAGTTTTCAAGTTTGTAAGTAGGTAACCACAGGGTGGAAGTGGGATAAATATTGTTGCATGGAAGGGATTGAGAAGAAAAAAAAAAGAAAAACAAAGGATGGTGAATTGGATGAAATGTTTTACTTCTTACCTTTTTTAGATACTGATTCAACAAAAAACTGAAAAGGACATATTTTAGATATTTTAGAATTTGAATCTGAACTAGTATTTTAAATGATAATAAGGAATTATTTTTAAATATTGGCAGTTGTAAAAATAGCATGGTAGTCTTTTAAAATCTTTATTTGTTAGAGATAAAAACTAAAGTAATACTTAAGAGGAAATGACAGGAAATCTGAGATGTACCTTAAAATATTCTAGAAAAAAAGTATGTTGGAGTGGAGTTGGGAATAGGGGAACCAGAATAGCAAATGCCAAGGGTGGAGACTTATCATGCTATTTGATTTTTGTATTAGTTTTACTGTTTTTACATAATAAGTAAACTTTCATTTTACCTCAAAAAAAAAAAATCTTTAGTGTCTGTAATTACATGTTTCTATTTCATTTCTTCCTTATTTTTCTAATTTAAACAATATGTTGTTGTTGTTAAGTGCCATCGAGTCGGGTCCGACCCATAGCCACCCTGTACAGGGTTTCCAAGGGTGTAAATCTTTATGGGAGTAGAAAGCCTCATCTTTCTCCCGTGGAGTGGCTGGTAGTTTCGAACCGCTGGCCCTAAGGTTCGCAGCCCGATTCGTAACAAACAATATAATGATTGTAAAATTATACATGAAACAAATGAATACATTTTTTCCATAATTTTGTGAATGTTAAAATCAGGAAATTATATTTATATGAAGTACAGAACTTGACAACTTTTAAGAGCATGTTATTTACAATGTTTAGCATTGAACGTAAAATAATAACTGCTATTTATAAAAATGCCTCAGCAGAACTTGTTTTCGTGTCAACTGTTTGATATTGAATGTTTTATTCCACAACATGTATGTGCTGCTTATTATTGCGGATTTGCTCATGGCATAATTTCATATTTTAATTAATTTTTTTTTTTGCAGTAAAACAAACATTGAACCTCTAAAATTAGATAAAAGTATAAAATAGTACGGCTGTTGCAAGGGTATTTTTAAATGATTCCAAATATGAGATTTGGCTTGGGTTCATGACTGAATTTCTAGTGTTTAAGTATTTTGTAACTAGCACTCTTCCAAAGGCTTGGGAAATAGAAAGCCTGTCCAGAGACTAGCTTTACTAAGAGAGTCAGGAAGTCAAAAGGTGTTCAGAGCCATCTTGGCAATTCATGGTGGCAAAAAAAGAAACATGTTCTGCAAGATTTTCCAGGAAAATCTGCTAAGGGTAGCATTTGTTAACTTAACTGCCAGTATTCCCAATCCCTTGGACTGGCTGTTTTTATAGCGGAGGGGGGAGGAGGGGTGATATCTGTATTTATTTAGCTTCTTTTAAAATTCCTAAGTCCAGGTTTTATTCACAAGAACCCTGAAGAAAAGTTTAAACTTTTGTTAAATGCTTGTTTGAAAGCATCCATGGGTTTGCTATAGAGTGGCTAGACTATCCACCACATCTTATGTGATGTCGTCCTGTGGACTTGCTTACATTTTGTGAATAACAAAAGACATGATTCAGATTGCCCATGTAATGGAATGCAGACGTCAGTCACTTCTCTCCCAAGCCCATACACTTAACACACCCATCCCCAACAATGGACAAAGTGGCTCATTTACAGTAGCTGCTTCTGTTGTTACTTAATTATTGATGTTGCTACTTAATCGCCTATTCAAGCCAATGTCCTTCCTAGAAACACATCATTATATGTGTGAGAAAACATCACGTACATGCTTTAATGATAGCATGTAGAAACACACATAATAACCATTTTGTTGGTTTTCTTTGCCCTTACTGGATGAGTCTTGCTGTCAAGTGCTATAGACTCAATTCCAACTCTGTGACCATGTGCAAGGTTTCCAAAGAGTGGCTGGTGGGTTTGAACCACCAACCTGGCGCTTATCTTACAGTGCCACAACATAAGTTGAGGATAAGTCTTAGAGGCTGTGAACGGATGCATAAACATCTCAATCTTTGCAAAATGTATAAAGCATAATAGGGACCATATGCCTTCCTTCTTTCCTTCATTTCTCCCTTCCTTCCACCTTCCCTCCCTCCTCCCCTTCTTCCTACGTAAAACAGAATGCCTAAAAGTTAGGGATCTGTGAGATATTTTTTTATAAACAGATGGTAAGAGACTAGAAGAGGTTGTGAAATTTGCCTCTCAATTTATCCACACCATTCTAGTGCTTTTTGTGTTGGTAAATAGAACATTCTACTACTCCATATAGCCCTTGTTGGAATTATAGAAATCCCAAGGGATGCCACCAGAAGAAAAAACAAAGCAAACTTCATCCTTATTTGATGAATTCTAATGTTTAGCTCCCACAAGAGTGTTATTATTTATAAAACTAAAAGTTGAAATTTACAACTGGATTTTGTTGTACTTTTTTGTCATTCTTTCTGTATTATTAAATGGTAAGGTTAGTATACTCTCTTTGTATCTTATTCTTCTAATTTTTATTGGAATTGATGATGTAAGATAAGAAAATTTTTATTGGTCAATAATTTCCTGACTCGACGGCCCTTAACAACAACAACAACAACAATCTTCCAAAATGAAGATGATTATATAATCTGACTCATTGGCTATGTTGTATTTCCACTGAACTATAGTAGCAGTCCAGACCTTGTAAGATCATACAGGTATAGCCAAGAAATAGCAAGATTTTTACTATTGTAATTAAGTTGTTAAGTTGTTATTTAACAGACGTGTCCCAAAGCCTTAACAGACATATGCTTTTTCTACCTGGAT